GGAAAACTGAGGAAGGAGAGAGATAGGCTAGCCACAGCAGACCTGGCTCAAGGTGGGAGGTCTTGTTGGCAGAGGGCTGGGGTCACTGGGCTTGGGGAGATGACAGGAAAATGAACCCTCTTGTGACCCTTCTCAGAAACTTCCTGAAGTGAATGCGCCCAGTGAGGCCCTCAAGGTGTGCTCACTCTTCACTTCTTCCGGTGCCTGTCAGGGCCTCGGAGTCTTCCGGACTCTCAAAGCGCTCTCCCCTCTGGAGAGAGGATGCCCAGCCCTCTCATTAGCCCCATGAGGGAATGTTCAGACACCTGGCGTGTCTTCACCACATGTTGGATCACATACAGAGACAGATCCATAGAAAGCCAGGGGAGATGCCACCGAGGACTCAGCCTTCCAGGGACTAGGCTTTGCTCCTCCTGCCTTCTGGCTTGCTCAGAGCAGCTGGCTGCCAGAGGCAGCAGAGGGTGTGGCCTGGGGACCTGCTTGCTGTTCCCCAAATGAGATAATGTCCCTGTGAGACTCCTCTAGAGCCAGGGGTGCGCTCACACAAGGTGCAGAGAGGCACCGCCTTTCCAAGGAAGCCTCCCCCCACCCCCACCCCCGCAGGCTTAACCCCCTCTTCCTCCCTACTCTGACCACCCCCAACACCCACCCAGACACTGGCCTCTCTTAAGACCCACCCCTTTCCCAGAAGTTAATGGAAGAAGCCATTTCTGCCTCTGTATAGCATGCCCCCATCTTGTTCCAATCCCTTGACTGTGTTCACACATGAGCATGCAGTCCACTTTCTGGTAGAACATGGTACCAGCCTAAGCCGGGGGGGGGGGGTGGCTATGCAAGCCCTACCCATAAACAGCTCTGTCCCGCTCTCAACAGGCAAAAGGGGAAGAGGAGGAGGAGAATGGATCAGACAAGGGGAGGAAGAGAGGTGTGTGGTGGTTGCCATTGATACCAAAGACTAGAGGAAGAGGAATATCCAGTTAGATCCCATGGTGTCGCCTTTAAGGGAGAAGGCTAAGATAATTCAAGGTTAGCAGAGGCAGGAGGTCCTGATGGGCATTGCTGGTTAGCAGAGAAACAAGGTCCTGATGGACATTGTTGACAGTGCTGAGTTGATTGAAGAAGGGAGTGTGACATGGATTTTATAAGAATAAACAAGGGCTCAAGTCTCTCTCCTGAGAAGACCCAAGTGTAGGCGAGTTTACTCTATAGAGCAGAAGGCCTGTGGTAAGACCCGGTCTGCTACCGCGAAGCCATCACCCTCCCTACCTGACTCCATTGCACCCCCTGACTAAAACAGCAGGCAGCTGCTGAGTCCTCAGAGAGGTGGGGGTGCAGTTCACCTTCACAGGAACCCTAAAGCTGAGGGACATTTGTGCTAGCAGGGAGGAAAGGAACAGTCCTGGAGACTCCTGGGGGAAGCCACCTGCCTGTCCATGGGGTGTTCCCAAGGCTGGTCTGAAAGCTCCTAGTCTCTGAGGCCATGCTAGGAACCAGTGACAGAGGAACACACACACTCAGGACATCCGGACTGGCAATGGCTTAGCCTGATGGGCTCTGGTGCCCAGAGAGAGCTAAGACCTTGTTCAAGACCACACAGTCAGTGAGCAGCAGAAGCAGGGAAGAGACCAGGTATCCTAACAACCAGCCTGGGTCTTACCATAGCAGCGTCAGCTCTTAAGAAGGATCCATCCTGTACCCACGCACCCTTCTTGCTGCTCTGTAATGAGTGTTTCACAGTCTACCCCTGGGCCTTTGACCTTGGCACTTGCTCTCCAGTCATCCCTGTGTCCCACCCTCTCTAGGTGCTCATATCCCAAGGAGATGCATGGGAAGAGACTCCTTAGCCACCCCAGCACCACACAGCTGTGTCCTGAGGGGTCATAGTGGGCAGCTTTAAAATGCTGAGAGTTCTGGTGGGGACTGTGAAATAGTGACTTGTTGCTGCAACAAAATACTCAGGAAAAGCAACTTGAGAAAGGGAGGATTTACCTAGTTCACAGTGTGAGGGTACAGTCTCGTCATGGCGGTGGGAGTTTGGTGTCCCATCATGGTGGCAGCTTCCCCCAGCTGGCCACACGGCATCTCACGTTTAGAGTAGATCTTCCTACCTCAAGACCCATAACCATGATAATTCCTTACATCCAGAGATTTGTCTCCAAGGTGAGTCTAGATTCTTTCCAGTTGGCAATCAGTTCACAGTGATGCCATGCATGCTCTCTTGCTCCAGAACTCATTGAGGTTTTAGTGACACCACCCAGGTCTTGGGGTAAGGCTAGGCTTTATACAAAAGGATGACCACATTCCCTGGTCACCCACCAAAGCCTCCATCTTTCTGATGTCTGATGTGTCCAGAAGCTCCTCCAGCCTGTTGCCAAGTCTCCACGGCGCAAACAAGTGGAAGGAGAGCCAAGCCTGAATAGCGCAGAATATGAGCTGATGGTTTTCCTAATTCTTCCCCTTGGCTTGGGAATGCAAAATATTATCACTTTTGCCTGGAGATTTCCCCTCCCAGATGTGTTTGGCCAACACTCAGATGAGTTCGCATTCTTTCTGCTGCCTGGTCTCCAATTCCCAGTTGTTTGCAGAGATTCAAGGCAGATGCTTGTGTGCTGACAACTGGAAGTCAGTTGTGTGTGTGTGTGTGTGTGTGTGTGTGCGCGCGCACGCGCGCGCGCGTGCACGTGTACCCAAAGAACCACACACATGTGTGGATGAGTACCTACAATATGGGATTGAAGCCTCTCGTGCCATGCAACCTGGGTCACAGAGAAGCAGACATATTCTCCACGGACACACAGCCAAATGATGACAACACTGAGATTAGAACTCACATCGCCCCACCCTATCCTCACTTCCCCTGGCACCGCTTCAGACTCCACTGACTTACAAACAAGTCTGTTGGCCCACTCAGCATGACTGAGGACCCTGACGACTTTGTGTCTCATCCAGGCAAGCACCCCTACCCCCCAGAACAGACACCAAGCAGACATTTTTCTAAGGTGAAGATCTGTAGAGAAAGTCACACTGAAGAAGTGGCGGAGAATAAGAAGGAGAGTTGGCTCAGCGTTTGCCTCACAAGCGTGAGGACCTGAGTTTGAATCCCCAGAAGCCATGTAAGAAGCCAGGGTGGTGGAGTGTGTGTTTGTAATCCCAGAGCTAGTGAGATGGGAGGTAGAGACAGGCTGGTGCATGGAGCTCACTGGCTAGCTGCCCTAGCCTCCCTGGTGAAGCTTCAAGTCAGTGGGAGACTCTGCCTCACACCAAAGGTAAAGGCAACTGTGAAGCAACATATGACCCCCACAGGCACTCACACCTATGTACATGCATGCACTGGCATGTTCATGTATGCACACATATGCATACATACATACATACACATACAAAATTAAAAGGGACATGAAGAAAGGCTGGCAACTTTGGGGAAATCCTACCCTCTCTGTGCTCACTTGTAACAAGGGTCTTAAACCCATAAGTAGGGCCCAGAGAGTGCTTTCCAAGAATCCTGAGTTCTGCAGAAGTGGCTTAGATCCGTCACGAGGAGTGGGGACTGCTCCTTGCCCTTCTTGTCAACATCAGCCTCAGATGCTGAGCCTTGTGCAGCAAGCACTTTACCAACTGAGCCAATCCCTTGGCTCTTACAGATTTTGATTGCTTTCTCCTAAGATCTCTGGGAAGCTTTTAGGGAAAGTGAGGGGGGATGGATGGTGAGAACAGTTGAGTGTCCCTCACAATGTGGACACTCAACACGCATGCCGTAAGCACTGGGTTGACAGTAGCCAAGGTCACATTAGGCCATGTCCCTCAGCGCTGATGGGAAGCCTTGGTTCCACGTGAGCCGTCACCAGCTAAGTTTGAGAACTGATCTCCCACTGATGTTCAAGTCTGCGACTCTGATCTCTTGGGACCAACTGGTCATTTTCAAAGCCAAGTAAGAACCCGAGACAGAGCAGGGCTTCCATCAGTCACTGAGTGAGAGCCATTAAGAACTGTGAATTCCCCTCTGTCACCAGCTTGGGGCAAAAGAGTGGCACATGGCCCAGCCAGCCTCCTGGCATCTCTGCAGCCAGCCTAATAATTCTCATCAGAAACTGCTTCTTGTTTTGTTTGTATCTGAGACCAGTCATCCCTGAGGAGGGTTATACCCACCTCCACATCCTCACCACCAAAGAAAGAAAACCATGAATTTCAGAAAAAAACAAACAAAAACAAAGACTGGTGAGAGCCAAGGTCAGAGGGACAGGCTCCTCTCCTTTAGGAAATCCACCCTCTGGTTAGTTTGGGTTGATGCATGCAGTAACTGGATTCTGGTAACTTAAATGTCTCTTTTCTGTGGCCAGTCTTTATTCCTCTCTTCCCCTGGGAGACTGGGTGAGGAAGACGGAGGTCCGGTCAGTTCTAGATTGAACTCCAGATGGGCAACTGTGCTCTGACCCTAGGGTGAGGCCTGAAGTCAAGAGAGAGACCCCCATCTCTGCTAAGAGCCTTCTTGTTCCTCAGCCCTCCATCTGGACCCTAAAGAGGGTGATCCTGCCCCAGCTCCCCAAGCTCTCTGATCTCCTTCCCAGCTCACCTGCTGAGTGAATTCCCACAAATTAACCTCACAGAAGTGCAAGACTTCCATCTCACAGGGCTGGTGTGCAATCCAGGGGCTCAGCGTAAAAGTAATAGCTGTTGCTAGCATCCCGGTCTCTACTGGTCCACACTGTGCATAAGCAAGACCTTGACTCCAGCCATTGAGGCACTTGCAGCGAGAGAAACGGTCCTCTGTTCAAACTGTATCTTCCCAAAGTAGGGTCTTTGCCTCCTACCTTGAGGCCACTCCTTTCCCATCAGACTGTGGATCCCCCCAATCATCCCACACAGGGGCTCCTCAAAGACAAAGTCACCCACCCGCCTCACAGTCCAGCCTCTCTGAGGCAGAAGAGCAGCCAGAAGGCCCAGACACACCCCTAGGCAGCCTGAACCCAGTCTCACCGTTTCTCTTTTCTGTTCCCATTCAGGATTCACAGACACCTTTAACATGGACACCAGGAATCCCCGGGTCATTGCTGGTCCCAGTTCTGCCTTCTTTGGCTACACAGTCCAGCAGCATGACATCAGTGGCAAGAAGTGGTGAGTGAGCCCTGGGACCCCTAACCCAGGGCTGTTCATATTCAGCACCCTCTTTCCTACCTCTGGCCTGCCAGCTGCCCAGACTGGTTCTCCCAGGCTTCTTGATTCCCGGGAATTGACTCTCCATCCCAGCAGGTCAAAATCTGGGAGGCTCTGCCTCTGAGACCTTGAACATCCAATGTCATGGGCTCTTCTTCATCTCATATGTGAAATGGGGGGAGGTCTAAACCCCTTTTCCACGTTCAATGCCCCAAAGGAGCAGGCACTGGGAGCCACTCACTGGTAAAGGCTTTCTCAGAACTTGGTGTCTCAACCGTGAAACCGTACCTGAGAGTGCTGGGGCATCTGGAGGTGGGTGTGAGATTGCTCATGGGGGCAGAGGTTGTCGGGTGAGGGCACAGCGAGGCAGTGAGTAGGAATAAAGAGAAAGCAAGTAATAGCCCAGGACTACCAGGTGGGGCAATAAAGAGGGAAGCTTCAACCTCTAAGTTTTGGATAACTTTACTATGAAGCAGCTTATTCGATCGTATGATCTAATCACGCCAAGTGTACAAATCAATGGTGATTTTAGTAAGCTTGCTAGGTTTCCTGATCATCCCCACAAGTCAGGGTTCGGACATTCCCATCTCCCCCAAACACATTCCCACACACCTGCACAGTTCAACTGGGTTTTTCCTCCTTGGCGGATTTTCAGCAGATAGACAAGGGCTTAGCTCTTCTCCACATTCTCAGAACCTTCCCAGTGAATGCTGGTTACAGGTGCCTCCCACCCTGTCCTGCCCTGCCACCCTGCCCTGCCCTCCCACCCTGCCGTGCCCTCCCACCCTGCCCTGCCCTGCCACCCTGCTCTGCCCTCCCACCCTGCCCTGCCCTCCCACCCTGCTCTGCCCTCCCACCCTGCTCTGCTCAGCTGAACCCCTGCCTGGCCTCCCACCTCTGACCTTTCTACTCCCTTCCCCTTCTTCTGCTCAGCACTCTCTCCATATGGCACCATTCACTGATCCGTTCTCTAGACCCTACCTGTAGACCCTCCATCCTCCTGTAATGCCCTCTCCTGCACTCCTGTTCCCAACCAGACTATCTTCCTCCCCCTCCACTGCTACTCCTTCCTCCTCCTCCTCTTCATTTCCCTCCTATTCTTCCCGCTCTCTCTCTCCTCCGCTATCTCTTCCTTCTCCTTCCTCTTCCTCCTCCCAGTCCTCATCCTGCTTTTCTACCTCCATACCCCTTTCCCTCCTCCTCCTCCTCTTCTTCCTCCCCCTGTTCTCACTCCCTCCATCCTCATTTCTTCTTCTTTCTTCGCCTTGATTTTCTCTTTCTATGTTGGTCTAACTTACATAATGATGTGATTATCTTGGGTATACAGCCCATAGAACTTTCCCATACATCTGCATAAACAATCAGCTCCCAATATAGATGGAGACCACTCAAGTACCCAAAAGGCTCTTTCGTGCCCCTCGCCAGTCAGTACCCTCCTCCCAGATAGGCATGATTCTGACTCCTGTCACCATAGATTCATTAAGCCGTGTTTGTGTGTATGTGCACACATGTGCGTGTGTTGACGACGTCATGCTACAGGTTCTCGCTTCCACCTGGCCTTTTAAATTCAACCCTGCCTGTGAGGTTGGCCACATTGTCCCGAGAAGTTCACCTTCTGCCCTTCCATTGCTTGTGGAATTCCGTTGTATCGCTATGTCACTCTTGGTTTATTCTGCTGCTGATGGGTACTGGAATTGTTTCCAATCTGCGCTGCTCTGTTGGAGCCGTGGCTTTTGTCCTTCTGCTGCTAGGCATGTCTTTTGAGGAAGAGTTGAAATCCTTTGTCCCAGGCTTGCTCGCATGCTTAGAGATGAAGGGCAGGTACATGATTGGTGTTAGGAGGATCTGCCAAACATGTCATTTTTCCCCGAAGTGCTTTACTACTTAATCTCTCTAGCAAAGTAAGAGAGTCCCAGTCATCCCACATCCTCACTACCACGGGACAATACAATGTAATTTTGGGCATTTCAACTGCACATAGTGCTGGTTCATTGTAGGGTTCACTTTTCTCTGTTTACTAACGGTATTGGACAACTGTTCATAAAGTGGGTGGACATCCTGACATTGTACTTAATGAAATTTCTGGTCAAGTCTTTTGCTGTGTGTGTGTGTGTGTGTGTGTGTGTGTGTGTGTGTGTGTGTGTGTG